TGCTACCAGTAGCTGTACTGTGCATGGGTAGCATACACTGCCACTGATAGTGCTAGTACTAGCCTAGAGCACGGCACATGCTCTGACGCCGGGACTGCACTCTGCAGTGCACAGTCTGTGCTGTGCTCGACTCTACTGCAGCCGAGGCAGAGTGCAGAGCCGCTGTTTTAGTTCAGTGCTATGCTGGTAGACTCTCTAACGACTGTAAATGCATGAATGCGACTGTGACAGGCACCATGCCACTGTGTAGGTATCCATGGCATTGGCTGGATTTCTTTGGTGACGACTGTATTACTCCCCCAGTCCCTGCCCCCAACAGCAGAAAAGAAATACTCCCTGTTTCCAGCAGTTCACTTGCATACCAGTGTCATGGTTGTTGTCTCTTCTTACCATGAATGTTCCTATGTATTGTCTGATTCTGATCCAATGTACTGCAATGCCCTCAGTTTGGTGAGTCTGCCATTCGATGATGCCGAGACCTCTGGTCTGTTGAGCATGACAGACCTCACCAGCACTGTCTCACTGCTGACTCCATGCTAGCCCCATGTGCCTGGCAGTGAGTTTGTGTACCTCGTATAATTATAAAAACTGACATTATTTTTGTTTATGTTTGCTGCTGCTATGCAGGTTCAACCCGAACTTTGGCATGCTGGGGATCTTTGATTTGCTGCATGGTACGGACAGTCACTTTCGTAAATAAAAGTCGTACGAGCGCCATTCCATGCTACTTGCCACCACCCCAGCCAACGTTCTGATTCCAGACGAACCGAAGAAATGCCAGTAAAAAGGTTAAGTCTGCAGTGCATGTGCATGTGTGCATCCTCACTGCTGTTGCTAGTCTCCTCACAGTCCACCCTTGACCGTCCCATTCTCCAGTTTCAATGCTAGTCTCCTCACAGTCCACCCTTGACCGTCCCATTCTCCAGTTTCAATGCTAGTATCATCACTACTCTACATGTATATGTATTTTAGCATATCCACCATCAATACTGGTCACATGACAAATTACACTAACCTACCCTCACTACTTCAAGTATGCCACTGATATTATTATTTTTATTCACATAGCTATGGGATTTTTGTGGCACATTCATTAGTGCCCTAGCTCGGCCCAATCTGTGTTCTATAATGGGTGGTTAACGACATCGCACTGTTCAATCCACCGGACTTATGAGTGTCGACTCTCATAGCTAATGTGCATTTTTCCGAGCCATCACCAAGAAGTTCTTTTTCTTTCTCAGCTAGGCCCATTCACAGTTTGTTTCTATTTCAAGTTCCGTCCGTTCCACCATCCTGGAAGCATGGAGAGGGACTTTATTGTGAATAATTTTAAGTTTATTACAAGCAAAATATAGGCTATGACATCAGTACTACTTAACGGCCGTACCGTTATGACATCACTACTACTTACCGGCTGTACTGGTATGACATCACTAGTAGTTAACGGCTGTACTGCTATGACATCACTACTACTTGCTCCCAGGTCACTCTAACTGTTTTCTGTACCCGATTACCGGTACTTAATTACGTCACTATTCAAGATGCTTTATACTTGAAGTACTGCATGAATGCTGACTTCATACAAAGTGTTAGGATATGAAACCAGAAATCATATGCAGTCAACACGTGCCTGTACTGTCCCAGACCGGCACTGCAATTTGCTGTTGCCAACCCCCCCCCCCCCTTGAACACTGTGTGGCACTGCGCTCGTGGCAAATCTGAACTCAGGATCTGCTCATCCGAATCCAGAGCCTCAGAGGGCTCAGGTACCCCCACCCCAGCGGGCGTTACCATACTCTTGTGCCTGCCCATGAGCACGGCCAGTAGTGATCTCTGGGTGCAGTATCGCCACAGGATCATGGTCCGTGACGTGTGCCACCTCCATAGATCTACACTTCAATGTACTTCTGTCATGGACTTTGAAATCCGTTGAGAAGTCAAGCGGCCACTGGGCACTGACCTTGCAGCCGTGAGCACAGCTGGTCCATTTCTTGCAGTGTGTACATGAACTATAGTGTGTGTACGAGCAAACAGAAGCAGTGTAGGGTGCTGGTCCCGGTCATCCCATCAGATTTCAATGTTCACGACAGTACATTCTAGGTCTTAGCCATGGTAAATTTGATCGTAATATGCACTGCAGACTGCAGTGCATATTACTGATGGTAACGGTTGCAACTTACACTTAGTGACTGCATGCTTGTGTTGCTTGTGTTGCTTGTGTTGCTCGTGGCACACGACAGTCACAAGCAACACGAGGAGTAATTATGGTTGGTAGTTATTATTACGAAGGTAAACAAGAGAATGGCCCGAGCATGCCCAGAGCAACCAGGTAAGGGCCAGCAGCGATGATGAGAGAATACCTTCGACATGCGCGAATGGAGATAATGTCGTACGAAGAAGCAGCGAGAGAGAAGCATGCAGCGACGGCATGTAAATGCAGTCTATAACAGTAACATAATGCAAAATACTGGCAGAGGTAGGATCCCGGTCATGAGCTTGTAATGAATGGGCACACTCTAGTTTGGCATGCTGTACCCTTGAGCATGTTCCTACTCAAATAACACACACACACACACACGTGCATGCACATCCATGCGCACCCCCCCCCCCCACACACACACATACACAAACACACGCACACAAACACGTGTGCACGTGCGCACGCACGTACACACAAACACATTGAACCTGGGACACATTGCCATGTTCAGGCAGGATATGTCCCGTGGTCTACTGAAAAGCCGGCAACAATTGGAAACGTGGAAGGAGCTGGAGTGTGTGTGTGCTAGGGTCGAACCATGGCTACATTCAGAATGCTTCATGACTTGGCATGGTAGCAGACAACCGGTATTTCTTGCTTGCCAAACGAATTCGAGCAGTGCTGCTAGATTTCAATACTAGA